CAGCAAGCTGGTAAGCGTAAGCATATTACATATATTTTACTTTGACTTAAGCCAGCCTCGATATTATTGAACTAAATGTGGAAGAACTCAAAAACAAAGGTGTTCAAATTTCAGTTTCAATTCCAACGAGGTAAACTAAATTTATTTTATTATTTATAATGATCTATTTTAGATTTTGAGCGGAGCGATGAATGTATTAATTTTACATTGAAGTGTGTTTTTATTTTTGTTTCTGTCATCGCGGTTTTTGGAAGTAAAAGTGCTTCGATTTTTTCTAATAGCAACTTTTCTGGTAGGAAAGTGAATTTAATTGGTGCGTTAAGGAAGTCAAAATTGAAAATTTCTAATAGTTTTCAAAAGCGACAAAAAACAAACAAACAATTATTAAGGAAAAACTAGAATTTTTACTCAAAACCAATTTTTGAAAAAATTGATTTTGGTTTTTAGTGGAACTCCAAAAAAAATAACCATATATACATGCAATTTTCACTGAATGTTTAATTTGGCATTTTTTATACACCACAAAATTTTCAAAACATTTAAAATAAGGTTCCATTTAAGCAGTTTTTTCTGTAACTACAAAATGTAAAAAATATATGAATTCAGTTATTTTTTACATACATTTTAAAATGTGGATGAAATACATATTAAATAATCAAGAATAATGATTTAAGTTATTTAGTTGTAATTTAAAAATATTTCCCATGGGTACTTGAAACTTTTAGTAATATTATAGGTCTTCGCTCAAAATCGTTTTTCGCTTACAATGATTGTATATCATTGAATTCAAATTTAACACCATACATTACAAGACCCACTTGTAACCTACTGTACAGCAGAGCACTTTCCACTTTCCCACTTTTTTTTATATAAGATTTTAACACATCTTATTTATCTATTTATCTCTTTTTCACAACAGATAAGTACTTTTCTAACCAATAAGATTTGTTAAGTATGTATATAGTTTTCTTGTACATTTTATCATAGACATTAACAATGTGGAGCACCGTCCCCTCACTTAGACTCTAATAGGATATGTTCCCCAAATTGCCCAAATTCCAACCAAGCATTTAATTCCGTATTTCCGTATGCTTAGCCAACAAATATTTTTAGTTTATAATTATGATTGGGATAACATAAGTGAAGAATTGGAAAATGAAGAAGTAGACAAGCTCAATAAAATAAATTCTAATGCTACAACTACTAGAATCAAATGTTCTAATTAAACTTCTCCCAAAATCCAAAGTACAGTAGATTTTAAGTGAATATTAATATATTTTAATTGTGTGTTTAATACTATGTAAATTGGGTTTTAGATGAAAGAGAAGCCACACACCAAGTTATTTTTACTGAAGGAATGACCAAGTTTATGCTGGAAAAGTATGGAAAATATATGAATTTTATTGGACCAATAAAGAAATTTAAAAGGAAAATAGATATGTGGAAACAAATCAGTTTCAAAAACAATGACCTCAGGTCCATTGAATGATTCCTCATTTTCTTCATCTCTCAATTCAATATGGTCATCCATATCTATACATAAGTTATGCAGTACACATGATGATATTAAGAATTTAGTTATCTTGTCGACAGATCCAACTGCAAAAATTGCCTACATCGGGACTTGAGAAGACTAAACATATTTTCAATCATTCACTGAGTAAATTGTACTTCTTTTCACACATGGCTAGGTGGACAGGTAGATCTTTACTTAGATCAGATTGAACAAATACTCTGGCATGGTGGATCTTTCCAGGTACTCCGGTAAACAAACCTATACATTTTTTTTCTGGTAATCACACACTCCTTGTAGTGCAATTGATGGATGGCATGTCATGTCTATTTGTGTAAGTGCTTTTAGTTTTGCGAGCTGGTGTTCGTATAGGAATAGATGTCCCATCAATGCATCCAATGACATGAGGCATTCCAGACACCTAAACTTAAAAAAATATTAATTAAATACCTAGATAAGTTTAATAAAAATAAATAAATAAAAGCTACTATTGACCTTCAATTGTGATATATTAACTTTTAAAATTAAACCAAACATACTATGCGATGGTTCCTGCAGGGAGGACCATGGACCCCCTCGGCCTCACTATTTTAGTTACTATTAATTCTTACTGGTCTTGTTGACCCTCCCACCACTTACATATCCATACTGCATATGTTATAAATTTTTTTTTAAGTACAGACATTATATTCATTAGGTAAATGTAAATTTTAGGAAATTCACTTTATTTATTTTAACAATAATGTTTGGTGAAATCTGTTAGTAAAATTCATGATATAAGATATTTAGGTATAACAGTAAGACTAATAAATAGACTATTTTTCATAGATCATTAGTATTCATTAGTTCAATCATTTATTACTTGTTACAAATGGTATCAAGATTGTTTTGAAACATTCCATTTGCTTAACTAATTGTTTACAAATATGTAGGTACCTATTAAAAATATAGTGTACAAATTGATCTGAAATATATCTCAGTGCTTACCTTTTAAAACTCCTTAGCTAAATTAGCAATGCCTTCATCAAAATTTATAATTTTGTGTGAGATGTCAATCAAAAAGTTCATCACTCTTTCATTGATACGGAATTGAGGGGGTAAGCGTAAGCCATTACCAAAACGTTCAGCAACATCTCGTAAACATGATTTATTGGCAGAAAACCTTTAAAAATGAAGAATATTCTAAGGTTTTTATTATGTAATAAGCTGTAGCTTTTCCATTCTAAAGCTGTCTTTAAACTAAAAATAATATATGTTAAATAAATCATATTTTGATCCCTTATTCAATGCAAATTTAAATATTTGAATGCAAAATAATAAACAAAAAAATGTGTAATGAGTATTGATGAAGATACATGTTTATCTGAGTATGAGTGAATAACATTTGTAAAATCAGAAATTTTGGGTCTTACAACAGGTTGCTTTATAATGTAATTTATCAATTCATCGTCATCACTTTCGCTAGATGATAAATAGTTCATTAAAGTAAAACATGATGATTATTATAATATCTAAGTGTAACTGTATATGACTGTATATGCTCAAGACTGTTTATAAATTTTAGAGAAGTGCATATAAATGTATAATTAATAATTATACAAACTAATTACAATGGTGAAATTTGTTATATCGATATGATCGGACGGTATAAATTTTACCAGGAAAACGATAAAGCCAACCGTCGACTGGAGCTGGTGCATCTGTCAATGCACTTTATGCACTAGGTGCAGAAAAATGATGGAGTCACAGATTTATAAAAATACTAGATAGTCGACTTTGAAATGATTTTGAAGCCCACAAAATGGCCGACATTTTCTTATCTAAAAGGTAAATGTTTACATTTTCACAACACTGATATAGGATATCAATGTTATCAATTTATAATTTATCATATGAATATCAGACTTTCTAAGTTCATGATTTGTTTAACTTTATAATTTTTGAAATACTATTTCCTAATGTATTTACATTGTTCAAACTAAGATATAATGCAGTAAATATATTTTAATATTTTTAAAATCTAAGTGAGTGAAATGTTTACTGCATACCCTGCTATATTTTGTAGGAACAAATCCTTTTATTTGTACTGCATCTATCCACTTTTTTGTTATTTATTTAATAAAGGAAAACTAAAAATCAAAAGATAATGTACCTATACATTTTATTTAAACAACTTTCAAAATCATACTTACGAAAAAAAATGGATACCACAATTAGCAACTCTTTTACTGTTGCACTGTCACACACAGCAAAAATAAACCATTTTGTTAAAAGAATAAACTACTTATGGCGCATTGCAATAAAAATCTTAAATGTATTAATTAGATACCTACTTATTTTAGAGAGCTAATCATTGTGCATCATCTTTTAAAAGATTGGTATGATAATAAAAATTTGTATAATACATCAATCTATAAATATATATCCTTAATAAGTTAGGTATTATAATTATAATTATAATTATTTATTTAGGTCTTGGCGGTCTTGCATAATTAATTTATTCTTATAAGTTATAGCATTTGCATTTTGGCGTGGGTAACTCAACTAAAAATGTATTAATCAAAATCATTCTTAATAAAACCAAATTGAATTTTACTCAAATCAACCAAATTCAAGCATGTGTGTATTCTATAAGCTTGAAACTTTTTTTATTTAACATGTTTATCTACATTGTATTTCTCATTTGCTACAATAAATAATATTGCTATTGCTATTATTTATTAACTAAAATAATAATGGAATTTAAGATTATAATTGTAATCTAAATGTGTACGATGTATTATTAATACTTTTTAATAGTTTTGTTTCCCGCCATAACTTTATTACGGTCTATCATTTTATCATAATACATATTTTGTAAGCATTCACCTCTTAGATAAGAGAATCTCGGCCATTTTGTAGGCTTTATAATTTTTACATTGTAGGAATAGGGAGTCGTTTAGTATCTAGTATTTTTATATATCTGTGGATAGTGTAGTGAGGTGAAATCACAGATATAGATATAGATATATAGATATTATCTATATCTTTGGGTGAAACATGAATTATGTGCACCAGTGCAACCGGTGCTGTGTGGTGGAAAACGCTATGACAAAACCGTTGGGGCTTAATCTATTTTCTATGGTTGGGGCCACGGATTAATATATATTTTGATATTGATATATATTAATCCGTGGTTGGGGCTTACCCATATACTTACATTATATCTAAGGGGCTTACGGTTTTTTTGTTATCACATTAAAATATAAGCATTGCCGTTTAGGCATATTTTGCGATTTTGTCTTCAAAGATAAACCAAAGTCGGCTATCTAGTTGCTTATAAATTAAGCACGGTTAAAGATATACCTTTTAAAGGTATATCTTTAATCGTGAAATTAAGACAAGTGTCTGTGGTGGTTAGATAATATTGTTCTATGATAATTGATAATATAATCGTCGGAGAGGTCCCGTAAATTAAGGTCGCCAGCCAATCATATGATTGATAACTGCCTTATCAAGGCTTTAAAAGTTGAGACTTTTGTTTGGAAATATGGAAAATTACAACGATAATAATTTTATTTTCTCTACGACACAACGACCCTGTGTAGACTAGTGTGTAGTCGTGTAGTGTGTTTCGTCGCTGAACTGCTCTCATAGAGCGCAATAAGATTAAATGTTGATTACACTTTTAGACTGTTCAACTTCAACATTTCTCACTTCGTCTGTAATGCAGTAAATTCTCGCAAGTTCGCAATCGGTATGCTCAACCTTTATTTTTAGTTAATTTTTTTTACAAATGTTCAAAATACGCTTTCGTTTACTGCCGTCGATGTGCTTATGGAGTCGTTGGATACATTAAACCTACGAGTAGGCGAATGTTCATTTTTGGAGATAGCCTTGGCCGATGTCAACCATTACATTAACACTTTCGTTTTAGAAAAGAAAATGTTTGTAACTGCATAAATACATTAACCTTGGATACTTCATTGGTAAACTCCAGTAATAACATTTTTTGATATTTTGTTTCTTGTTTGTGTTTCAGAAATGTGGTACTCATTTTCCCTCCATTAAGTGCACGTAATCGTTTTCTAGTGCATACTCTGGTGCAACAATTTTTTAAAGAATTGAATACCATATCTATTGGTAGTAGCTACGGAAGACGCACAGTCGTTTATCATTCTTCACTTAAACCAATGTAAGTTAAAAATTGAAATTGAAAACGCTATTAGTACTTACTTTTTAACTCATTTTCAACTAGAGATCCTAACTTGGTCTGTTGCTGTATAAATTGTATAATAAACTATGGTAGTACTAATAGAAGTTATGTATTAATAATATTTAAACAAAGTGTTAAATATTCTTTTTCTATTTCCCTAGTTTTACATTAATGTTGTGGGTCATTCATAGTATAATTATTTTTAAGATATTGTAGGTACTTGTTTGTTTAGAAAAAAAAAGTTGATTTGATTCAAATTCTCATTAATAATAGTATCACAGACAATTAACTCAGAAGATACATAAATGTTGTATAAATCTAATCTTAGTCAACTATTATATGATGAATTATTTTAGGTTTTTGTATTATTTTAATTTATTTTCACTATAGTTTTAATGTTTCATTATAAATCCCATGACAATTTGGTGTTTTATGCTAAAAAAATAACTTGCACTTGAAACTGGTAGAATAATTGTATTCCATGGGTCAGTTTTCCTGTACTAAAATAAGTTTAGCTTTTATGTCCTGGACAAAGCCTCAATTAAGTGCTTTATTGAGTGATGTACTAACTGTGACACTACAAGAGGACACCTATGCATTTGTTGTTCTACACATACTATATTGCAAATTTCTATTCACTGGTTTCAATAGTGTGTTGTAAGTTTTGATATAAGAGTGAATTAGCCTGTTATCAAAATTTTAGGTAAGAACATTATTTGTGCTTAAGCATTGGTGATTTTTTTGATATTTTAATTTTCAAGCAAGATATGGGTATGTGAAAAATAATACATTAAAAATGCTCATATCATGCTTGAAAATTTAATATTAAATTTATAGAATTTATTTAAATTTAAATATCGATAAAAGTCGACATTTAAGCACTGGTAATGTTCTTATCTAAAAGTCAAAAGTTATAAAAAAGTTAAAAGTTCTTATCTTATGTCAATTGTGCTTAATTTAAAAACTAACAGCACACTATTAAAACTAGTGAACCAAAATGTTATATATTGTACGTTTGTAAGATGGAGACAACAAACCAATGGGTAGCACTTTCTTAGGTTTTATTTTTAATGTTTAAGAAAGCTTAAATTAAATATTTGATTTCCATCCTATATTGTAATGTATAAACATTGTAAATTAAACTTTTTCTAAGAAATCTTTTTTATGCTATTGTGGTTATAATAATCTAATCATTTTCTAATCGTAATATTTAAATTTAAAATTGGAAAAGTAGAAAGATGTATTTAAAAATAAATTTATGATTAAAAGGGTAGGAGAGTATGTTCTAAAAATAGATTAAAAGCCACCTCTAATTATTGTAATAATAAAGCAGTTAAAAAGTACTTACTTAGTTAAAATAATTTCTGAATAAATTAAAATTATGATTATGGTTTGCCATATGGAAATTAATAGTTGGTAAATCTCAGCTAAAATAAATGATTTCATTTTTCTTAATTATGATATTCATCTCGTTAGTTATGTTACCTCAGTATTGATTATATAATTTGATTGTAAATTATTTATTTAGCATTTTATTCTGGTAAAATAAAATAAAATTAGATATGTAATATTATTAGTTTGTATTTTATATGCAGGGTCGTAGCTAGGCACTGGCAAGAGGGAATTTGCCAGGGGTGCAATTAAACAAGTTGCCCAATTTCATTGAGTACCATTTTCAATTCAAATATGATAATTTACAAAAATAAAATCTTTTATTTTTAGCTTAAAAATAAATTAAATGTTAAATTAATTAAATAAATAGATAATGATATAATATCAATATTTCATATTATTTTCTTTATTCTAGAAAGTTAAATTTAAAAAAATTATTTTTTATTAGTAATAAATCATAAGATAAAAATGTTTATATTTAATAAAATAAAGGATAAATGTATTATTATTCAGAGCATTTTTTTTAGTTTGTTATTATTTAATTATAATACATGCTAAAGCAATTTTTATACTTAATTATAAAATAAAGATATACTTGTGCTACAATCAACAGAGCATTTTTTTTTAAATTATGAGCATTTTGTGGTAGTAGAAAAAAAAATAGGATGAGATGGCACAAATTTGGTTTTCTACCAGGGGTGGGCCTGGCTCATGCTACTGCATTATGTATATGCCTAATTATTGTATCAATATTAAAATATTTTTCTATTTGTTATTTTTAAACCTGAAAGTGTTAATAGTTAATGTACTGCCAAACAAATATTTTAAAATGTAATAAAAATTTTTTCATAGGCTTTGTGAAACAGAGCTGGATGATGCTGAAATGCATGGTGAAAATAATTCTAGCATACATCGAGCATATAGAACTCCTAACGAAAGGAAGGCCCAAGAAAGATTATTTCAGTCACTTAAACCTAAAACATTAAATCCAAGTACAAGGTAATGTGAAGTTCATTCATTATTTTAATGGTAATTTCTAGTTTATATTTTAAATTATTGTGTACATTTTTATAGATCCCATCAGCGTAAACAATGTAAAAGGCCAGATATACCTATTTATATACCTAAAGCACTTAGGGGATTAACCAATAATACTGTTTCCAAAACTAGCAGTACAAATAGTAGTTCAGATTCAACTCAATCGAATAAACTTGATGCTAATTCTAGAACTCAAAATGATTCAAGCAACACATTATATTCAAAAGATATGAAGGATTCAATATCATTATTTAATCACAATCAACATAATAATATTTTATTAGCATCTTTAGATTCATTTAAATTTGTAGACTTATCAAATGAAATGTTTATTGATGATATTAATAATGAATTTAAGACTTCATATCACGATGTTTCATCTCAGTTCTCAGATTCTGTATCTTCTACTATTCTTCCAGATTCTGTAGGTATAAGTGAATGTAATTCAAATTCATCTGTAACAAATCAAATAATTAAAATTAAAGATGTTAACTTGGAGCATAATGAATTAGAATCTAATATTGTGGGAACTAAAATTAACAACTGTGATAGTGTTGTAACAGGAAGTGAAAATGTCAGTAGTATAAGTATACAAAATTCCACACCGGTTAATACTGTTAATTTACCTGACTATCAAATATCAGATGTTAACGAAAGTATTACTACTAATAATGCACTATGGCCTCAAAAAACTGCGGAATCAATGGATCCAGTTTTAGTTAATGATAACATTTCGGAAACGTCTAATAACCAACCAGTTGAATTGCATAAAGAAAATGAAGTTTGTTTTTCTAGTGTGCCTGAAAAAGCATTACAAGAAGAACACGATATTAACTGTCCTCATTATTGTTTGGATGATAGTTTCACAAGTGGGTCATTAACAGGTATAGACAAAAATGATTCTAAAAACTTAAATGAAGAGTTGACTGTTCAGCAAAGTCCAGTGTTAATTAATAAGTCTCTAGAAATTCTTGACATTAATGAAAAGAAAAATGAAAAGAAAAAAAAAAAGAAAAAGATTTTAGATGTAGATGAATGTAGCTGGGAAGATATGTATGATAAGGAGGATGATTATATACATCCATTACTTATGAAAGAAGTAAGTTATTTTATCTTATAAAACAAACAAATAAGTTATGCAGCCTAATTTTTTGACCTATTTGTTTTAAATTAACCTTCATAATGATGAGTATTGAACCATTTAAAAAAATTACATATTTTGTTTTTAAACTTCTTATTATTCAATGAATTATGAACTTAATAATTATTAATAGTTAAAAATAAAATAATCTATTCTCCTATTAACTCATTTATTTCCCAATAATATTATCTTGTTGCTATAATTTATCCAATAATTGGTTAAGTTACTTAAAACGGAATAGTTTTTATTGTAATCACAATTCTCATAGCATTAAGGTTGGAAAAAACCAGTACATTGATAAATGTTTCAAAAACCACAACAGTACACTAAATATTTATTGTGGTACGTTTTACTTAAGCTTATCTTACTGTAGGACTTTAAAAAATGTGTTGATTTAAATTTGAAATTGTGTAAAGCCTATGGATTAATTTCTTAATGTGTTTATTATTTCAGTCAGTTGTTAAAAAAAAATATTTATGTTTTTTTGAATATTAATTACATTGCTGCAAACGGGTACAGCGAAACTGACAGCATAATTTTAGTCACCCAAAACGTCTATACTTTGACTTATCTGTATATTATAAAATCTATTATAATACTAAGCATGCATTTATTGTACTTAAATACTTAATATTATATTTTCTTATTTTAGTTAGTTTCTACAATAGGAAAGGTTCAAGTACAATGTGCAAAAGAAGATTACCGTAGTTTTCAAACAATTGAAGAACGATCAGGTGACGGTGAGTGTGTTATTGAGGTGTATGGTTTTTCTTCTGATCTGAAAACAATTGATCTAATGAATCAATTTGCTGCGTTTCGTAAAAAACATTTTGAAATTATTTGGGTGGATGATACTCATGCATTAGCAGTATTTGAAAGTCCACAATTAGGTAAAAACAAAATAATTTATTTTGAGGTAAATATTTTTGTGTTTATTAATTATTATGATATTTTAAATAGCTGATCAAGCATTGAACACACCATTAGTTCTTGTGAAAACCAGGCCTCTTAAGAATGCTACCAAAGAGTCAAAACTCAGAGCGGCTACTGTTGTTCCTCTCCCAGCAACTAGGCCTAAAACTTGTACTGCAATGGCCAGACGACTAGTGAGTAGTGCTTTAGGACTTAAGATGAATGTATCACCAGATCTTATAAATGCTGAACGTACATTGTTGGCAAATGCTAAAGGTAATTTTAATTGATTGTTTATTTTGGTCTTTACATTTTTATCGGTTTATTCTTTTTTTAGAGAAAAAGATTCGTGATGCTCAACAAAAACACAATATATGGAACAATGAATCATGATGACATGATCATTACCATAGTGTAAAAAATATAGTAAATTATTTTTTTAACGCCACTTAACATTTTCTAAGCATTACATAATTTTTTTATACTGTAATCTGGTAGATTTTTAAAGTGAGTGCAAATTATTATATATATATATATATATATATGCTTAATATATTTATTTATTGACGGAATCAGCAGAAATATATAAACAAATTATTTTACCAATTTTTACATTAGTATTAGGACAATGAATTATTTTAAACAGTTTTCAAATTAAATGATGTATAATTTTTGTTATAAATTTGTGTTTTTTTTCTATATTAATTCATAATATTACTTCTAGTAAATAATAATAATTATAGTTTTAACACCATTTTGGTTCAGCAGTGATGTGACTATCATCGGACTGGTAGTCAATGTTGGACAAAAAAACTATTATTGATGTCTATTGAACGATTAAATGTATAAGAATAACAATTATTATTTAAAATTAATAATTTTAATTAATAAACATTAACCTTTTCACTGCTACAGTATTTATGCATTGCAACCTGTGTAAGTCATGTAAAATAAAATATTTTTTTAAATCTAAATTTTAGGATCTATTATTTATGACCTAATTATTTAAGTCTAATATTATGTGTGCCAAAGTTTCCTAGAATTGTACAGTTTATTGCAAATTATTGTACTATAAAAGTATAAGATACAGGACTGTAATGGTACGTCTGGAGCAGTGAATGGTCTAAATCAGCGTTTCCCAACCTTTTTCCTTCGCGGCACACCAATCCCAACTCATATTTAGCCGAAGCACACTTGTCACTGACTAATTTATGTATACATATTTTTTTTTATAGTAGCTTTTCATCGTATTAATTATTAATACCAAAGTAGTTGTATATCAGTATATTACCAATAAACAATTTAAAATGGTGTTTATTTAGGATAAAAAAAATATTATTACAATTATAATTAAAAATATTTCAACTTATTACTGATATTATACATAAACGTCTAACCTAACGTTAATCGTAACATTTTGGGGCACACCGGTTAGGAAACACTGGTCTAAATGTTTTGTCCGTAATAATGAAGCAGTTAAAGGTTAAACAGTATTAAGTATTAGCCACGAATAATGGTTGAATTATTAATCTTGAAAAGCCAAAATTATTAAAAAATCATTTAAAAACTTAATTATAAGCACTAAAATAAGCAAACAAAATCAGCCTCAAAAATGATAACCTTCAAACTCAGGAGAATAATAAAAAAGGGCTGGCTCATGATTAACCACCACATTCTTCTTGTATTATATCTGCCTATACTGAGTACAATTTCTAAGATTACAAAAACTAATTAGTTTTCAAAGTGCCTACTTCTCACATCGTCTCAGAGTAAAAAATAAACAAAAAAAAAAATTAGGAAAAACTAGTAAACATCATTTAATGAAAAAACACTGGAATAAGCAAAACAAGTACTTTCATATTTGAAATTGTAGTAACATGATAACCTAACCTATGTTCTTACTTTTTAGCACTACTGTGCTATCTATAGGTTAGTAAATGTGAAGTAGCACCCTTTATCTGGCTAACCTTGTAAAAAGTGTTCGAATTGCACCATTGTCCATTTGGGGTGTAAACATTAAACTGGTAGTGTTCGAATTATCTATCTGGATCACTCCGTAGAACTTCTAAATATTTATTGTAGTTGACAATTGCATGTGTGTTTATCGATATTTGCGTTGATATTCCAACAATTTAATTTATTTAGAAATAAACATTAATACATATTTCTAAATTAATTTTGAAGAAAAAAATGTTTAGATTGTATAGCTATGTGTAATTATACTAATAAAAACAATAAACTTTAAATATGTATTGAAAGAACAAATTATTCTTCGACCATCAACTGGCTAATGAATGATATAATGAAATAAACCAGTATAATAATAATAATATTGTAGCTTGGCGTGTCGTGTTGGCTGCGGAATGCGACTGGGAGTAAGTAACAAACCTTGCCACACATACACGTGTTTGCTACCTACCGTAACAACCCTAACAATCGTAAAAACAACTTACCGTACCAACCTTACTCCCACCACAGTTCATAACCCCTACAACAGCTAATGGCCTTAGTCGCCGGTCTTAAGTTCAATAATAAAAAAAAATAATAAAATAATAATAATATTTCATATAGTGAACACCTATGTTTAATGTAATGAACCGAACGACTCACTATAATTCGAACATTATCATTTTCAGTCCCAAGTGAAATTAGACAAAAATAATTGTAAATGTACAATACTTATTGTGATTCTATCTTACCCGTTAATAAATACTAAATACGTGCACTAAAGTACTACGTATTGTATTATTGTAATATGTACTTATAGTATTTTTTGTGTATTACTAATATGAATAACAAGTGTATTTTATAGTTTTTTTTATTGTCAGCTGTCTGATACATATGTACATTCAAATTATTTACTCGCTAATGTAATCTCTACCGATTGCAATATGATGCTCATGATAATTATCAATATAAACACTACGTTTAGTATACAATATAAATAGTGAATGTGCAACATAATTATACATTATTATGAGCTTATAGTGAAAAATATTAACTCAGTTAAAAATAGAAGTTAATTAGGTAAATAGGAAAATTAACTAACTAATAACTATCTAGTTAGGTCAAAGACTTGATATAAAAATAACTTAGTATAACTTGGTTTTAAGCTTTTTAACTATTGATTGTTATTAATTATTATGCTCCAGTGCTCCACATGTGACATGGGACCTAACCCGTCGCACTGAAACGAGTCTTTACGGATTGGTTCCAGATTAGTCCTGGACTTTTCGATGTAGATGTTCGGTGAAGTATATTATATTGCTCTTATAACTTATTGTTTATTAGTACTTTGTTATTCAACTTATTAAACATAACTGAGATATAAAAAAAACCCTGAATTTAAGTTTATTGATTTTATGCATATCTCATCCGCCTAAAGTATTTCTGGATCCGCGACTGCTGCACCCTCACCAAAAACAGCTCAATTTGTAATCGGTGTCCTTTAGAACATCGCAATTTCGCAAGTACACACTACATTCCACCAATTCTATCCATATAATTAACACTTGGTATATAGTTTGCCGTCACTATACATACTTTAGGGTATAACTTCGCACACCGCACAACCACCACCCTCGGTATAAATAATTCAAACTAAAACCAACCGATGAGGTTGACCGTAAACTTGCTCAATATCTCAAGTATAATACTGCAGGTCTGCAGTAGTGCAGTATACTAATGAAAGAATGATATCGTAGTTAAACGGTAATGAAATAGATAGTGAAATATTATATTGGATGAAAAATAATTCGAAAAATGTAAAAATATATTATTATTTAATCTGTATTCGCCTGGACGAATAGTGTTGGTAATACATACGACATACAACCGCTATAAGGAAGGAAGCCTCCAGTACACTGTACGGCTGTATGTGAAATAATTGATGTATTTTCGATTATTTCAGTAATACCCCGAAGTTGTTCATGATAAGCAAGTACCTATAAGCCTATAAAACAGCGTTATTATCAACATAGCACCCACCATAAAAAATCCTGGATCAAAAAAAATATTGCAAATTAAAAAAATTCAGAATTTAGAAACACAGTCACATTAAAATTGAAAAGGGCGTTGCCGACTGCCGTGTTTTTCTTTGTAAGACTAAGATCTGTAATTTTTGTTTATAACTATGAATAATCATGCATAGTTACCTACCATTGCTTAGGCATTAATTAATTTATTACATATTTGCACGGGTGGAACTGTGGAAGATTCCATCATGATTTATATATTAACCATATTGGTATTATAGGTACGCCCATCGGCCATCACAATGTATTGTGTGATAACCTAATATTAATATATTATAATATATTAATGTGTTATTCTAAAGTGTACAATGTGTACTATGTGCAGAATGCTGATACGTCGTCATATTACACCTAGGTATCTACCTACTTATGAGACGCGGTCTTAAAAATACTGGAAACGAGTAAACGACCTCGACGGATGCTATAGTTAACTAAGATTTTAAAGTCCAGCCCACGAGACAAGTACCTAAACTGTGCCTGGAACAAAATGTGTCCAAGTTTGCGCATACCAAATCATAAATTAATACAGCTATCAATGAAGATCTCACAGACTATGTTATAACTTATGAAATATTTCTTATTTTCATTTTCATACAGTCTGTGATAAGCTCAAAAAATGTCTCATACAAGCATAATATTCCCAAACTTTGCGCACCCACAATACCACCACCAGCCATCACACAAAACCACGTCGTTTAGGCTTACGAAATATAAGACACACGGGTGTCTCAAAGTCTATTTGTGTATAGTTCTTTGATTATTAGTAAACGAATTAAGTAGTGGATATTGAAATACGTAGTTATAGAAAAATATAAAAAATAAACTTAAAATAAAATCAGGAGTTTTCTTTGTAATATTTTATACTTAACTTATAACTTCAAAAATAATGTATCAATAGTTCTTCAAGTATAAATGAGAGTACCTATAAGCGGTGTCTCACTGACAGTCAGTCACTGGGAAGACTCTAGTCTTAAACTCAAATTTATATATTATACAGGTATTTTTTGTTAACATTTTACTCTCTGTGCATACGTAAACAAGAAAATTGCAAAAATACGAATCATGCACCTATATATATATATATGCTTTTATGGGGATCTCACTTGTGCTGTCAAAATCAATCAAACATTTGTTCAACACAAAATCAATACTGTGGCTTACATCGTGCTCAGATCTTATATTTTTAATAAACACAATATATGGAAATGTGTACCTAATTATTAATTAGTAATATTACTTTGTCATTAATTGATCAATGATTAACTTCTCAGAAGTGAAAAACCGTGTTCTCGAGAAAAACGAGGTATATATTTATATTAAATAAAATATTTTTTCTGTAATGATAATCAAATATTGGTTTTTGTATAATATAATAATTACTAATTATTACTACAACTTTGTTAGGCAATTAATAGGAAATATTTTGTAAATAAATATTGCCACGTATATTGATATATTATTGTGAAGCCGATAAAGTATGAAGTAAGAACAGAGAACCCTCCAGAAACAGAGCTTAGATAGGTACCCATCGATAAATTGCGAAAAACGATTAAATTTACTCAATAATTAAAATGCGACTGTCGTCTTACAGCAGCCCTATAACTACACTTCTACCGATGAGTTGTAATGGATGGCTTGTAAAAATATCGCGAGCGCTTTTCACAATTTCAATCTATATAATTAACACTTGGAACGTAGTTTGCCGTCGGTACACAGTAGGTACAGTGTATACACACACACGACACACACACACACACACACACACACACACACACTCTCACACGTACTATATATTTAGGTACCTAACAACTTCACCCGTGCCGCAACTCACGGTATAAATAATGTAAACTTAAACTGGCCGACTACTTTGACCGTAAACTTACCAAATACATCGTGTGTAAATACTGCCGTGGTGTACTATATTATTATAATATTATTTAAAGAAAACAGTATTAATTAATATTTTGTTTCGGCAGCGTCAAGCGAAAGCAGCGGCTTGTGTGTTATACTACAATATTATATACAATAATATGCAATTATGTATATTATAAATTGTAATAATATTCTGCCTCGTTATCGAAAAATAAATTACTGACGAGGGGGCGAACGGCGCCGTAACTTTAATACAACCCCCTTGGTTACGATCAGTAATAATATAATAATATTATTATTGTACTGTTTGATCTATTTACAACCAGCTGTAGTTCTTGTGGTGACTACAATAGCGCAATGACTAACCTTACTGTATTGGATACAACATTAAAATACGTGTAATCACTATCAGCTACTAATTAGTAATGGAAATCGGTAAGTAATTTTAACATTATTAAATGACACTAAACTATGTCTACCTGTGTGTAATTTAATTCAAATTTACATAATCCTTCATCAAAATTCAAAGGTTCACACGCTCCCGTGTATGGGGTTTTTATTATTAGATACATATTTTTTCCTCCAAATGCTAGCGATAATTAATACTAAGACATATAGGTATTAAATCGTATTAATAAATAGCGAGTGGTCTAGCTTTATGATTTTATGAATATTAGTTTACCTACTCATTTTAACGAATATTGAATTGAATATATTGCTTGAGCGGTGCAGGGGATCCAATGGTGATTCAACTGAAAATATAAAATTTTTTTTTAGCTTTGAAACTACATTAATTAATGATTTGATTTATTTAACTTCATCTACCCTCCTTACAAGAGAACACGACGCACCAAGGTTCCAGAACTTTTTAGTGAACAAAATATGTTTGACTATCGTATGTTTTCGTTTACAAATTGAAATGTAATTATTAATTATTTTATATTTTGTTAAATTTGTTTTAGAAATAATAATTAATATTTATACTTTTTCGAAGTGATTAAAACAACTATAAAGTGGTTAAAACTTTGATTTTAATTAATAAAGTATATAAAAAAAATGATTAGTCTTTATTAAAAGTTATTTTTAACCAATAAAAAAATATGTTATAAATTATAATATTACCATCAATTGTTGTTATTTTTTTAATTTTAACTTTGAATCGTAATTCGTAGAACATGAGATAATAGGTAGGTAGGTACGTATAATGTGTTATGTAGTAATAGGTTTGTTTTGTATATTACACAATTAATATTAAATTAATAACTCGGTTTATGTTTTTGAAGCTTTATATTACTTAATGTAAAATCAAATTGTTTAAAATAAATATCTTTGATGAATCCTATTTAATAAACTTATACCTAGTGTTTAAAAACACGAAAAACATACAACAAATAAATCTATAAAGTAACAATAACTAGGTAGGTAGGTTACTGTTACAATCTAAAATCTATATTAAATATACAATATACATATTTAATTAGAGTGCCGTTGTATAATGTATATGATATTTATT